TCAATGTTTCCATCAGAGAATTGAGAAAAAGAAAATCAAAAAGGTCCTCTGCTTGCCAACTCTACCTGAGCTTCTTCCTGTTGCTTTTTTAACTGTTCAAGCATCTGCTGAAATTCAGCCTCTTTCTGTTCAGCCTCTTCCAGTGTTGCCTGGTTCTGCTCCTCATAGGCCATGGCCACCACAGCCAGGATCAGATTTATTAGGTAGAATGAGCCCAAGAAAATGACCAGCACGAAAAATATCATGTATGTTTTCCCAGCAGCGCGTAGTGTCTGCAGATTGGAAGAGATATTTTAATAAATTTTACATAGAAAGTCACAAACTCATACTCTAAGTTACAAAGTATTCTATAGCAGTTCTCTTGATCTCAGTATTTTTATGCTTTCCTAAAAAACCATTTAATCTGTTCTCACCAGTTGGTAGAGGTTTTCCCAGAAGTCTTGAGTCATGAGACGAAATAAGGACAGAAAGGCCCAACTAAAGGTGTCAAAGCTGGTATAGCCGTAGTTGGGGTTTCTACCGGCCTTTACACAGATGTAGCCTTCGGGACACTGGCTGTAATTAGGTTAAAGGGGAGAAAGGAAGTCAGTAACTGCAAGTCTGCTAGCTGGCTTTCCTGTTTTTATAGATACCTAGGCCAATTTTACATAAGCACTAGAGAAAGCTCATTCCTCTCACCTCCCTCAGCATTTAACTTAGCACTCTGCAGACTGATTTATGTAATAACAGAATCTATTAGGTCTGTTTTGTGAATTCTTCTGTGATTCGTAATAGTCATCACCATATCGCCGTATAAAAGCAATGTTATCACGATTCATAACTTCTGGAACTTGCAGATTTGTGTAGATAAATAAGTCTGTAGGGTAAAGGTGATTTTCTCGGTCTATGCTTTGAGGCAGGAAGGTGTGTGAGGGTGGGGGTAGAGCAGCGTGGTGAAGAAAGGTTGGGTGGCAGCACCCTGAAAGGAGTGAGGATTTCCTAGCACAACCCGGAAGATCAAGGAGACCCAGCTCATTGTCATGCCTGACATTTCTAAGCCAAATGATTTTGGACAAGTTTCTTGCTAATCTTCGGTAACAGTACCTGTCTTACAAATTTGCAACCATTCAAGTGGAAATTGTATGTAAACATTTAGTACAGTACATGCAAGAAATTACAATCAGTATATTTTATTTGTCAATATACTCTGAGGTTAAAGGCAGCACAATATTAATCATTGGAATCAAATTCAGATGTGGTTGTTGGGAATTTTGCTACAGGTATTCGTTACTAGTGTCTACAATATCATCTTTCCATAGAAAGAGTTTTAGATTTTTGTTTATGATTCTAAAACCTTGACAATTAGGGAAATATAACGATTTCTCTGAATTTTCCTAGGTGTTAGCTCCATGTGCTAACACTTCCTAATAATGAATATTTGTATGATGTCCATAATAATTAAAATCAATTTACTGAGTGCTTTAATAAAT